GAAGATAATCCATAGCTTGTGCAATATTATCACATATTCTAATTTTTAATAAATCATTTATTTCATGTTCAGTATAAAATTTACGAATACTTCCAAGTGGAAAATATTCCATAATTAAACATAATGAATTTTCTGTTTCAGCACTTCCAATAAATTGAACAATATAAGCATATTGTGTTTGTTCCATAATTTCTAATTCTTTAGTAAAACTCTTTTTTAATTCATCAAAATAAACAGAATCTGTTTTCATAACTTTTACAGCTACATCTGTATTTCTCCATGTTGCTTTATAAACATTTCCAAATGTACCTCTTCCTATTGCAGGAAATAAAATATTAAGAGAATTATAATCAATTCTTGTAGAAAGTTCTGACTCAACATTTAAATTTAAATAAACATGAAACTTTTTTATTCCTAATTTACTCTTTCTATGTCCTTCGTCAGAAGAAGAATTTTTTGATACTTGTTCTGTTTGATATTTTAATGCAACTTCATCTTTTAATCGAGGGAAAGAAAGTGTAACTGGTACTTTTTCTGTTAGAACTGTTGTACATTTAATAATTATTATAGCAGTAATAAGAACTGTTTGTCCTGACTTAACAGTTCCTGTAACTGGTTTAAACATAATATCATATCTTAATGTTTCACATGCATGAAATGTAAATTTTAATGTTTCTTTTCTTTTATTTGTTAATGATATAGTTGTTTTTTCTGGAGTATCTAATGGTACTTCTTTACCAAATTCTATATTTGGTGAGAGGAAAGAAAAGAATGGATTTTCAACAGTAATATCAATAAATCGTGAATGAGTTTTATCAAATTTAATAATTGATTTCTCTAAAAATGGTATAATATGTTCTAAATTAGATTGTTCAATTTCAATCATCTTTGTTAGTCTTATGTGTTTTCTTAAAAATATTATAAATAATATTACCCATACTAACAAATAAAGAACTACTCCTGGAATAAAAGCTAATGGATAAATACTCCATTTAGGCATTTTTGAACAATATAATTTATCTACATTATACCACCCATTTTCACATTTACATTCATAACATCCAGTTCCTCCATCACATTCTTCTCCTTCATCTAATCTATGATTCCCACAATTTTTAGATAAACATCCAAGTTCTGGAATATAATGTCCTACATAATTATCCATACATCTACAAAAACTACAACCTTCTCCTCCATCACATTCTTCATACATATCAATTACTCCATTATAACAAGTTATTGGGGCACATTTCGTTGTCCCATTTATTGTCATGGGAATATTAAGATAATGACACATACACATTTCTCTATCACAATTTTTATCTTCTGATCCACTAATAGACAAATCACATTGTTCTTCAGCATCTAATTTTCCATTTCCACATGTAGAACATGTATCACCAGAATTAACATATCCTTCATCACATAAACATCCATTTTCAGTACATCTTCCATGACCATTACAACCAAATGGACAAGCAATTGAAACACTAAAATTAATCATTGCAAAACTTGAAGTTTGATATGATACAAAAATAAAATAATCTTTTTTTGAAGACAATGACAACAATAGAGTTGCTTTAGAATTAACTACTTTTTTATCTTCAACAAAATCTGTACACCCTTGATAACTATATGCCTCACATTTAGTTGTATCTTCTTTATAACTACAACTAACATTTTCATCATGTTTAATAGGTGCACTTACAACATGAATAGCTGTATTATAATCTCCAATAGTATTACATGTACTCATAATTAATGACCTATCAGCCCCATATAAATGAAACCACATTCCGCTTAAAGAAGGTTTTGAACAAGCAGTGTCTGAAAAAACACCATAATTAGAATTAATAATATAGTGATATCCATCTCTTGAAATACTATTCCATGATATTTCTTGATTAACATATGAACATGGATGGTGAATCCTTCTAATATAAAGGTTAAATGTTGTTTGAAGTGAATCTTCCTGAGAATGAACTAATAAATAATATGTTGAGGTTGCAGGAGCTATAATCCTACTTGAAAGAATATAATCATCAACATTATCGTTTGAATAAAAACATTCAGAAACAAATGAATCTTCACCAGGGCATGTTGTTTGTAAAGTAAGAACAGTTTCAATTCCAACATTAACTTGATTTAATTTAATATATGTAATATTATATCTAGTATAATGAAATACTGTTTCAATAGAGATATACCCACTAAAATTCATATTTAATTTAAACCATTTGCCATAAATATATGGCGCATTAATAAGTGCAACAGGTGAACAAATACTTGATGTTAAATACCATTCGTTTGTATCAATAACTTCAACATGTTCAGTAAAATCTTCTTTTATATCAATTACTGCACTGTCAACTTTTGAAGCACATGAAAAAATAGTATTTCCAGCTAATGGTTGACAATTTAAATATCCATTTGAAAAATATCCATCTTTACATACATAACAATCTTCATCATACCCTTCTTGATGACATGATGTGCATTCATTAGGACTAGCACATTCTCCATCACACCCTTTAATTGAACACATAGGTATACATTTATTTTCATCAGGAACAGAAACATAGTTCTCTTCACACAAACAGTCACTTGTACAATGATCCACTCCATCACATTCTTCAGTTTCAGGGTTAAATTCTCCATTACCACAAATTGCTTCAACAACATTAAAAATGAGCCATATAAAAATGATTATCATTTACAATTGTTTTAAAAATTTTATTAAATTTTTAATAACACTTTTCTGTTTTTTTGATTGAATTTCCTTTTTTTTTTAATACCTTTTTTATTTTTAGGAAAATCACTTTTTTTTTCAAAACTCATTCATACCAAAAAAAAATTAGAAGAATTAACAACCATCAAATAATCAATTTCTTTTCACATCTTAATTCTATGAAATCGCTTTTATTTAAATATTCCTCTCTTTATCTAAACACAAATATTAACAAAACTACAAATCAAAGTAAAAAATAGATTTTAAGGATAAAACTAATGAATGGAATCACTTACTTCTTAAAGAAATTTACATGATTTGTTGTGTCTTAATCCCACTGCTTTGTAAAAACAATTATTAATTAACATTGTTTTAAATACAATTTAATCCTTACACTTTTGCATCACAATTCATAAATTCTCATTCCAGTTATTTCCATTCACTTTTATCAATTACTCCTAAATATTACTGAATTTCTAACTCTCAATAATTTTCAACTATTATATAAATAACAAAATCACACCAAGATGATATTGTAATATATATAATATACAATTATTGCTTTTATAATTTTATTTTAATAAATTATTTTATAAGGATATCTTGACGTACTGACACATTAGTTATTCCCTTTTCTTTGTATAATAAAAAATTATATTTTTTTGTATTAAATAATAAATCACTTAAAGTTCTTGTTTCTTTGAATTATTTTTCTGTTCAATAAATGTTTTTAAGTCTTTAAATGTTCTTTCTCCTTCATAAACTTCTCTAACTTCATTATTATTTTGATCTTTTGTGATATAAATAATTGTTGGATAGTGTGAAATTGAATAAATAGAACATAATCGAGATTCTTTGTCACAATTTACCTCACCAATTCTGAGTTTAGATTCTCGTGAAATATTTTCCCAAATTGGTTTTAAGCTATTACAATGACCACACCATGGAGCAAAGAATTTTACAAGAGTTGGTTCTTTTGCTATTTCAGTAGAATTTTCAAAAGTGAAAGTGATGATATGAATTGGTTTAATATCTTCAATTTCAATACCAATTGTATGTAATGCTTCTTGTATTTTTTTTGTTTCAAGAGAATTAATAAAAATTGTTTGATCATTTGGTTGAAGAATAGTGAATGAAGGATAATGAGTTATTTGATTATTTTCACAATAGTCTTCATATTCTTCACAGTCTATTTGACCAACAATAATATTTTTATTTTGTTGTTTTTGTATTGCTTCGTCGAGTTGACTAAATGTACTTTTATAATTTTTATATGTTTCTCCATAAGGGATATAATGTAATAATAAGACAGTTTTGTTTTGAGTTAATTGGCGTTGTAGTTTATTTGGATCAAATTCCCAGATATAAGCAGATGATAAAGAGAAAAATAAAATAAAAGGAATGAAAAAGAGTAACATTGATTAAAATTTTAAAGATCCTTCATGATAAATAAAAGATAAAAAGAATTAAGTTTAATAAAATTAATGAAAAGAATAATTCAAATTAGACAACTTTAATATGTCTGAAAAAGCTTTTGAGATTTTTATATTGCCACCATGCTAAAAGAGCAAAGATGATTATTTGAATAAATGCAAATAATTTTACTCTAAAAATGGTTGAGGCAGTGACAGCTTCAAATTCATCATGTTTTTCTTGTTGGAATTTAATTTCATCTTGAAGAGCTTTAACTAAATCAATTTGTTGTGTAAATTGTATTTCAATAGAATTCAATTGTTCTGTTTTTGCAAGGTTTTCATAATCAATAGCTTCAATTCCAATTTCTAAGTTTAATGTAAATTTATATTCAATGTCATATCGTGGTGCATTTGATACATAGAAACAAATTTGATATTCACCTACTTCTTTTGTTGTGAACATAACAACTCCATCTTCATCAATTTGTGCATCTTCATCTTCTCTATGTAATTCTTGTGGGAAATGAAGAGCATAATGTAAATCGATATTTTCATGCACCTTACCATATTTTCCTGCATTTAATGTAGTAATTTTATAATGAGCGTGAACAAGAGTTCCAACAGGTTCATCAATACTGAAACATTTTGGTGTTTTACCAATAATTTTGAAATATATTTCAGGTTCATTTGTTTCATCTGCAAAAGAAAATGAAAGACAAAGAAGGAAAAGGATTAACATTCTTCTTCTATCTAATTTATTTTTTTCTAAGTTCTTTTTTTAAGCTTTTTTCAAAAAAATGAAAAAGAAAAACAAATAAAATGATAAAAACCCTTTTTGTTTCATTAGAAACTTTCATATGGAAAACAACAATAATCATATCAATATGGATGAGGAATTTGATGAATTAAATGAAGGTGATAGTCAGGAAGAGATTATTGATGATATTAATCAGGAAGGAATTATTGTAGATAAAAAAGATGGAGAAGAAGAAGAAAACAATGATATGAGTGAAGAACCAAAAGAACTTAATGAAGAAGAGTTAGCACAATTGGATGAACAAGAAATGATGGAAGAATCTAGTAGAAGAGTCAAAACTATTATAACGAAATATGGAAATGATATTGATCAAAGAAAAGTTAAAATTGATTTTAATGATGGAGTTATTTGTGTTGCAATTTCAAATGATGGAAAATTTATTGCTGGAGGGTCTTGTGATAATTCATATTCAGTTTATTCAATTGAACACAATATGTCTTATAAAAAAACATATGAAAATACAGTCAGTTCATTAGCATTTAGTCATGATAGTACTCTTCTTGCAGTAGCCAGTTATGATGCAACAGTTCGTGTAATTGATATAACAGGTAATATCAAACATTCTTTAGATGGATATGATGAATTTGAATGGGTTCAATTTCATCCTATGGGACATGTTGTTATTGCAGGATCAGTAGATGGTGCAATTTGGTTATGGAATGGTGATAGTGGTAAGTTAATTACAACACTAAATAGTGGAATACCTACTACAATAGGAAGAGTTACTCCTGATGGTAAACATATTGTTGCAGGATATCAAGATGGAAGTATAAGAATATGGTCACCAAAAACACAAGAATCTATTAAGATGAGTATTTGTCAACCAACTGAGTCTGTTGAAATTACTTCAATAGAAATGATTCCAACATCTAAAATTGGGATAATTGGAGCAGCAGATGGTAATTGTTATTTATTCAATGAAGAATTAGGAAGAATTTGTGCTACATTAAAATCAGATAATGAAGATACTTCAGTTGAGTCTGTTGGAATGAATAAATTACATTCTAACTTTGCATTTAGTGGTAGTTTAGATGGTATAATTAGAATGTATGATATGGATAATGGACAAATTGTTCATGAATTTATACATTCTGAGGATCATTTTAGTGTAACCAAAATATCACCACTTCAAGGACAATATGTTTTAACAACATTTGGTATGGATTCAAGAATTAAATTGTGGGATTTAAGAACTAAGAATTGTATTAAAGAAATGGGTGGGCACCAAGATGGCATTATTTGTGCTGAAGTTAATTGGGACAAAAAATTAATCGTTACAGGAAGTGAAGATAATACAATGGGATTATTCGCTTTATAAGAGATAAGATTAGTCTTATTTTAAAGATTTTTAATTTTATTTCTGGGGTTGCTAAGTACCTATTGAAAAGATGGTGACGTCAGACTATTCTTTAAAAAGTGACAAACGTCAACGAAACTACTGAAAAAAATTAAACCAAAATATTCCAGAAAAATGAACAGTAACAATGAAGACCAAATACTTATTTCATTACTTAATGACTTTTCGCTTTTCTGTCCGTCTAATGTAATGCCTTCAATACAAGAACAAAAAGAAGTTGATATCATTCTTAATAGCAATGGAGTATATGATGAATTGTTGTATTTATTAAAATCTTTTTCATTAAATACTACTGAGCCTATTTATTTTAGTTGAATTGTTTATATCCATATTTTTTGTTTAGGATGTTTGTACAAAAATAAAATTAATAGTATTTATTCTAATAGAAAGGTAGGTTAATTTAATTCAATAACATAATAAAATACCTTTACTTTTTAAATTCTTTTTTCTAGGTAAACATATTTGGTTGATAGATATTATCTGTTCATTATTCTTTAAAGGTATTTGTTTAATTTAAATAACTACACTCTGTAGACAAAACGTTTTTTGTTTAAATAATAAGTTTATTATTCATACATTTAAGATGTAAAATTTAATTTTCAACATAAATTCATTATTGTCTGTTTGGTGATGAAGTTAAAAAGACTGGAAATAGAAGTTAACTACACTAAAAGAGTGGTGTTTTATTAATCTCTTAGATTTTTTATTAAATTAAGGTTTGGTAAATTATTAACTAAAACATTTATTTTTCTGCTAGAAGATAAAAAAGACAAATATTCTTATGGAATAATTTATTTAATAAAACCTGAAAAAAATATTCTTTTGAGTTAGTAACTTTTCTTTTTGATGAGATACTATGGTTTGTTATTAATAAAAACTAACTTCACCTCTTTTTTTTTCTTTGATGTACATTAATTTCATTCCTTCTTTACTTGAAAGAAGTCTGTAATCTTCTTTGAATGAGAGTCATTTGTTTTATTCTTTTTAGGTTTTAAGTCTTCTTTTTTCTTTTGTTCTTCAAGCATCTGAGACGCTGTTGTAAATTGAGACGATGAGTTTTGATTAGAAATTTTTGAGGCTAATGTAAATCCACTACATTGACTACCATTAGGAGACCGTTTAGGTGTTGGGTGTTTTACTCTAATTGTATTCTTTTTTATTAGACGCATTCTTAATTTTTCAAGGTCATCTTTCACTCTTGTATTTTCATTACAGAGGTCACAACACCTTTTATTAGGTTTAAATGTAGTTTCTCCAAAATATTTTAATAAACACTTTCTTCTACAAGAACATTCAACGCATAGTTCTCTAATAATTTCACTTGTTTCTTGGTTAAGAGCAACTTCTCGTTCAAAGTCATCATTACTAAATAATATTATACTCTCTGCTGGTTTCCCATCTCTTCCTGCTCTTCCAGCTTCTTGCATAAAACCTTCAATGGTTTTAGGAATATTCCAATGTATAACAAATCTCACATCTCCTCTATCTATTCCCATTCCAAATGCAATTGTAGCAACTACAACATTCACTTCACCACTTTCCCATTTTTTTTGAATTGTTTCACGTTCTTCTGATTTCATACCAGCATGATATTTAGCAACTGGATATCCGTTAGTGCTAATATATTTTTCAATTAATTCACACTCCATTCGTGTTGAACAATAAATGATTCCACCTTCTTTTTCATGTTGATGTAGTATTTGAGTTAGAATTTGAATAGGAGTTTCATATAAATCTTTATAAATAACTTTAAAGTATATATTCGGTCTATCAAAAGAAGAAGTAAATATTTGGGGATTTTTTAATTCAAGAGATTTGATTATATCTTCTTTTACTTTTGATGTGGCTGTTGCTGTTAATGCGATAATTGGGATGTCTGGATATGTTTTTTTTAAATATGATAGTTCTAAATATGATGGTCTAAAATCATGTCCCCACTGTGAAATACAATGTGCTTCATCAACAGCAAACATCCCTAATTTTTTAATTGAGTAAAGTTTTTTCATAATATTTTGGAATCGCTGAGTTTTAATTTGTTCAGGTGTCACATACAATAAATACAATTCAGGATTTGATGAGTTAAGAATTGATAATACTTTTGTAGCTTCTGACTTTGATAGTGTAGAGTTGAGAATAAATGAAGTAATTCCTCGTTTATTTAATCCATCAACTTGGTTTTGCATTAACGCTATCAATGGAGATATTACAATTGTAATTCTTTCTGTTAACACTGGCTGCAACTGGAAACACAATGACTTACCACCACCAGTAGGCATAATGACAAGTGTGTCTTTATGTTGTAGTGTCGATAATATTATTTCTCGTTGTTGAGGTCTAAAAGATTGAATATTAAAGCATTTGTGCAATGTCTCATCAATTCGTTGTTCATACCGTTCAATAGAAATTGTTTTAGTGATAGGCTTTTGTGCAAATAATGGTTTGAACATTACTGTCTTCTTTTTCAGTTTCTTTTTATACTCCTTTTTTTTAAAAAAATACCTCAATATCTCTTTATGTTTTGCATAACAATTTTTTGAATTTTTAATGTTTCAAAACTGTTTTATATTAGAAAGAAGTATTATATATAAGAAGATATGACATTATTATTTATTGAAAAACATTTATTTATGTAACTGGAATTATTAGTTATTTAATACAATTAAGAAAAATAATAATGTTAAAATGAATTTTTTTATTATTGCTCATAACTGGTTTATTGGTATTAATATAGTCAATGGATTGAATAAACACAATTTAGTTATTTATGATACAGGAATTTGAAAGAATCACAACATTTTTAATTAACATAGTTATAATTTTATAATGTTCCATAATTATCTAAAAGAAACATTATTAGATATTCCATTAGGCATTTAAAATTCATAATCAAATGTATTAAATATGTTATATTGACACCATTTATATAATTTATATATGGAAATTGTTTCTTAAAAAGAATGTATCAGTAATATTGGGTTGAATATAAAAATAGTTTGTTAATATTTGATATGTCTAATTTTAATCATTCTTATGTGTTTTTTTTTCATTGATTAAATAAATTTGTTATGTGGTAAATCTAAATACTTTATTTCATTAAATTTATTTGTTGGTAGACTCTTAAATATGTTCACAACTAAGAACAAAATAAATGATATTCAAATTATTATTCTTTTTTTATGATGAACTTTATCTCTGATTTAGATGTAATTCCTAAAATGAAGAATTTACCTTATTCCAATAAATATATAGATAAATAATTAAATGGAGACTTTTTATTGTATTAAATTTAAAAAATGCAATATAAAAAAGTAATTAAACAACTATTACATCTTTTGTTTAATATGACTTTCAATGCATTAATATAGATGTATATGAGAAATTGCATTTTTTATAATATGGTTTTGGAGTATTGTTTTTTTTTGTATTACTTTTCTTGAAGCTATTCATTGTTTGTTAATTCTTTTATAAAAAATACTAATTTTTATTTCAGTTTTTCAATGATAACAGAAAGGATGGTATTTATACCAAAGTTCTTGAACAGAATATTACTATTTTATTATTAATTTTTGAGAGTAATAAAATATTCTTATTGTCTTTTCTTTTGTTTTTCATCTACTAACGATTCTCTATGTTTCATGTTGATTCAATCTTTGTAACTAATATCTATCATAAAATGTTTCTTGACAATCTTAGTATTGTCAATGAATAAAATAAGTGTATAACAACAAAATATTATTGTCAATGACACAACTGTAATAGTAGTTGATATTGTTATTCACTATGAGTGATGATTTTAAAAATAAGAAGAATAGTCAAAAGAACAAAAGGATAAAAATGAAGAATGTAAAAAAGAAACTAAACGCATAGTATGAAGGTACCAACCATATCAGAAGATGTGAAATACTTAAACGATAAGAAAATTAATAAGATTAATAGAAAATTTAAAGTTTCTGAACAATTTAGTCATGAATTTAAATGTTCTCTCAACTCAGTGTTTGGAGCTGGAAGATTATATGTTGGAACACATCACTTATGTTTCAGTTATCTAAAAATCATCAAAAAGAAGCATGTTATAATGGCATGGAATGAAATGAGTGATATCAATAAGATTAATGGAAAATGCATTGAAATTAGAACAAAGAATGGGATGTTTATTTTAATTTATTGTAGTTCAAAAGTGAATGAATTGTTTGATTCATTAATGGAAAGTTGGAGACGAAGCATTATTTTCTCGGAGAAACTCAAACAAATAACAAAGAGACAAAAAAATGAGACAATTGACAAAAATAGTAATGACGAGGGGATTTTAAAAGAAGAACCAAAACATGTTGTGACAATACATCGTTTTCATAAAAGTGCGAATGATTTATTTATGTTAGTGTTCAGCAATAATGAAACTGTCAAACAACTATTTGACAACATTGGACAAAAGGAAGTTAAAACTGAAGGATGGCAAAATGAAGCTAATGGAGGAAAAATACTTTATTTATCATACAAAGGAGTTTCAAGTGTTATTGGGATGGAAACAAGAATAGAAGAGAAATGGGAAATGAGAATGAATGAAAATGGGATTATGATAGCAATGGTAGTGAGTGTATTTGACATTCCATATTCTAGTTATTTTAAAATTGAAAGTTTGATGAAAATGAAAGATGAAGGAGAATATTGTGATATTGTTGTCAAACTCAATGTTAAATTCATGAAAAGTACTATTTGGAAGAACAGGATAGAACAAACAACAATGAAGGAATACAAAAATAAATATGAAGAGTGGATGAAATTAATTGGGAAGATGATTGGAGACTCTCAATTTGAAGAGACTGAAGAATATAACAGTATTAAACAAAAATCCATAGATAAGAAAAAAGTCATTTATGGAATGATCATTCTTATTACCATTTGTATTGTCTGTTGCTTATTATATTTATTAATAAAAATCTTACATTAAAAAATTCATTTTTGTTTATTAATTTAAAAAAAAAATTAAAACAAAATAAAAATATGTTTAATACTTTGAATTAATGAATTTAATGAAGAGTATCTTCATCATCATAATGAATTCTGACAACTGGTTTGATAAGGTCTGCTGGTTTATTCTTCATTAACATTAATGCATCTTCAACTTTTTCTAATCCTTCAAATCTATGTGTAATAAGTTTAGAAGTATCTAATTTACCAGTTGAAATAAGTGATGCTAATTTTTCCATTCTGACTCTTCCACCTGGGGTTAAACCTCCATGAATGTGTTTATGACCCATTCCAACTCCCCATTCACTTCTTGGAATATCAATATTATCTCCTTCTCCAAGATAATTAACATTTCCAATATCTGATCCTGGTTTAATCATTTTGACTGCTTGTGCAAATGTATGAACATCACCTCCTGCAATAACGACTTTATCAACTCCTTTGCCGTCTGTAGCTTTAAGAATTTGTTCTACAATATCTCCATTTTTATAATTAATAATATCTGTTGCTCCATATTCCAATGCAATATCACAACAATGTTTTCTTGATCCTACTGCAAAGATTCTTCCTGCTCCAAGATGGTTTGCTCCTGCAACTGACATTAATCCAACTGGTCCAATACCAATAACACAAACAGTATCTCCAAGTTTAATATTAGCTAATTCTGCTCCATGGAATCCAGTAGTTACCATATCTGATAACATAACTGCATCTTCTGGTTTAATATCTCTTGGAAGAAGTGCAAGATTGGCATCTGCTTCATTAACATGGAAAACTTCTGAAAAAACTCCATCCTTGAAATTTGAGAATTTCCATCCTCCAAGCATTCCTCCTGAATGCATTGGATATCCTCTTTGCGATTCTTCTTCTCCCCAATCTGGTGTAATAGCTGGTACAATAACTTTATCTCCAACTTTTAATCTCTTAACTAATGATCCAACTTTAACAATTTGTCCAACCGCTTCATGTCCAAGAATCATATCATGTCTATCTCCAATAGCTCCTGCCCAAACGGTATGTGTATCTGATGTACATGGTGCAAGTGCTAATGGTCTAACTAATGCATCAAGTGGTCCACATTCTGGGATTTTCTTTTCAATCCATCCAATTCTTCCAATTCCAAGCATAGCAAGTCCTTTCATTGTGGTTTTTCCTTCCATCTTGTATTGTATATATTTTTGTTTTCTCTTTCCTCCTTAAATATACTTTTTATCGTACGATAATCATTCTTTATTCTTTTTATTTCTTTTCTTCTTTCTTCTTTTCTTTCTTCCTTTTTTTGATGTTCTTTCCATAAATACCTTATGGATTTTTCAAGAATTTGAAATAAAGTGTAAATACATTAAAATTTCTGTTGAGCCACATCGGGATATTTGTATTTATTTTTAATCTCTATAATCTCAGTAAATGTGTTATTTTTATTCTTTCTAAGTTTATGGAAATCATTTCTTATCTTCTTTTCATTTCTTATTCTATTCTATCTTGTTAATTACCTTTCTTAAAGTGTTCATCAAATCATCAAAACCCCTTTCATGCTACTGATGAACAGAACATTAACTCTTTATTTTTTTAACTATTCTATACTATAGAATAGTATTATTATAATACTCTCATATTTATGTTTTATAAACGTTTAATAATATTTACAATATATTTGTTTATTATCGTTTATTGGGTGTGGTTTAATGTCTTAGATTATACTCATTTAATACTACAGGTTGATGAAATAGTGGAAATAACACAATAAGGAATTTTAATTTAAGGAATTATTGTTATTTATTCATCACACAAAAAAGAAGAAAAGAAAAACTTAAAAGAGAACAAAGTGAGAAGGAATGAATAGTGAACTTCTTCCTCACTATGAACTTTCCAATTTTTTTGATTTCGTTGAAAATGCATTTTATGAAGATGAAGATTTCATGATAAAGTGCCATCGAGTATTAACTAAAATGAAAACTGAGAGATTATTTATTGAAGTAGAGATAGACAATGAATATGAGCAATTGTCTTCATTAGTTCCATTTCTATTATCCAAGTCATTAAGATCAAAAACAGGAATATTAAGAATAGAAAAAGCCTTCTTTTGTGAAAATGTTTGTTCTTCTTAAAAGAAAGAATAAAAGTACAGATAACACTTATTTTTATATAGAATCAACGACAATGTCTTTGGATTATTCTTGAACCAATATCACCATTAACTGTTTCTGATTATATTAACAAACAAGAATTAAAACCAGATGAAATGAAATTTATGGCATTTGATTTTCTCAAAATTGTTAAAGATTTGGATGATATTAAAATTCCATGTGTAGTTGATGAAAGGACATTAAGAATAAAAAGAGACCCAGCATGTCCATTTCCAAGAGTAGTATTATCACCATTAGCATTTATTTTAGGTGTATTATATCTTTCTAATGGAGATGAAGATTTAATACCAAATTATAAAGAAAGCATTGCAACAATTATTTCACCATTGATTCAATTACCATTGTCAAATGATTTTATTGAGTCATTCAAAGAAAATAAAAGTAGTACTGAAATTAGTCAACTTCCATTTTCAAAAGAATGTATTGATTTTGTTAATGGACCAGTTTGTTTATTATCAAAATATACGGCAGAATCAATACTAGGAAATGGTTCATATGGTATTGTTATGAAAGCTCATGATGCTGATGGAAAAATAGTAGCAATTAAAGAAAGTGGAAAAGAGAATGTTTCAACACTTCAAAGAGAGGCGATTATTATGAGATTATGTAATCATCCAAATATTGTTAAATTTCTCAGTTATACTGTTTCACAAGACTCATTTGCTTTTAGACTTAATGCACCAAATTTAAAATTAGATTTTCCAAGGGCATTTTTAGTGATGGAATTGTGTGATGGAGGAGATTTAGATACTTTTTTAAGTGAGTATGCAGCACAACATCATGACTATCTCCCACTTGATTTAGTTAGTAATTTATTTAAACAAATAGCAGCGTCTCAACATTATCTTCATTTTGAAAAAGGATTTATTCATCGTGATATTAAATTAGAAAACTTCTTATTAGTTAAACATGAACCTTATCCTATTGTCAAAATTGCTGATTTTGGATTTGGTCGTGCTATTGCTGATGTAATGGCTACTTTTAAAGGTACTCCATTATTTACTTCACCACAAATTATTAGAAAACAACCTTATACATCTAAAACAGATTTATACTCAATTGGAGTATGTCTATATCGACTTACAACATGTCAATATCCATTTTCTACAACAAAAAAAGAATTTTATAGTCAAATGAAAGAAAGAAAAGAGGTAGAATTTCCTCTTCGATTTAGAGAAGATACTCGATATACTGAACTTATTGACTTAGTGAAAAAATTAATGTGTTATGATGAAGATAAACGAATATCTTGGGAAGATTTCTATAAACATCCATACATGAACCACATTTAATTCATTATTAGTTTTATATTTGTTTAATATGTTGTTGATATAAAAAAGAAATTAAATTAAAAGTGATTCTAAATACTCAGTACCTTATTGATATTGAGAATATTTTTAATCAGTAGTCTTGAGGTTTATTGTTTATAAGATTTAAAGTCTTTGGTTATTATAAACTCAAAAATAAAAAATAAAAAAACTTTCTTACACAAAAGAATTAGATAAGTCAGTAGTTTATTATTGTATCAAAATTTTCACTGAATAAAATTGAATTTCTTGTAATAGAATTTTAATTAAAATTATTTAATAAAAAATAGTTAATTAAAATTAGAATTTCAAAATTATGATTTTGGATTATTTTCATCAGACAAGTACTTTTTTTGAATTATTCATTGATAAAAAGATAAATTTGTATATTAATATTTGACTCTTTTAATTTAATGTATAGATAAAACTATGAAAAAACTTACAAACAAATTCATTGATTTATTTTTGAAGAATATAATATTAATTTAAGAATGTTAGAGAGTCAAATTTAAAGTTGTTATTGAACAAAAGAAAAAGAAATTGTTTTGAGATAGTTAGTGTTTCAATGCATAATCAAATTACTCATTATTTTAGAATAATAAAAATGAAACAAAAAATCAAGATAAGATTCTAAATTTAACAAAGAAATTTACAAACTAAGTTTGTAAAAATAAAAGATTTAGAAATCAAATTCAGGATATACTTTTTTTATTGATATAACTATATGGATATAATGTATTCTTTTCAAAAAATACATATGATGATTCTTAGATAGATAGTTCAATGAAAATTTTCTGATAATATCTAAAGAATATAATCATATTTCTATAATAATTGATATTTTAATTAATGGCATAAAAGAGTCTAAATTGTTAAACAAAATAACAACCATTTAATGGTAAACAAAGTTTGTAAATAAGATAAAACAGAAGAAGTATTTAAAGAGAAAGAATGAATAGATTTGAGTAGGATATAAATAGTAAAATGAATAGTAAAAATAGTTATAAAAGAATAATAAAACGAGACGAACAATTCATAAATGAAATTTTGAAGGAAGAAAAAACCCTTGTTTTAATAACAAGGAACTATAAGTTGTTGAGTCATTTGTTTATGAAAGTGTTAATACGATTTTATGAAAGTCATCCTGATTTTAGGTTTGGAGAATTTAATAGTTTACTTCGATTATTTCAAGTAAAATGTGAGTATGATCCAAAGACTCTTGACAACGTTTATATGTATGCGACATTTGAAAGTCTTGATGATATTAAAAAAATATGTTCGAGGTCAGTACTAATTAAAACTGTATATGAAATTTGGGGAGAAGCAAAAACATATGAGGAATTAGTTCCTATTGTATATTCAAAAGCTGATGAATTAATTCCTATTCATAAAGGAAAAACATTTAGATTAAAAGTAACATGTTTTGGAAGAAATTATAAACAACCAGAACAAATTGAAAGATTTGACAAATTTAAAGATTTTAAATTGTACGATTATCTTGGTAGTGTTAATTTAAAAAAACCAGAATTAAGTATTGCTATTATGGAAAATATTGGTCATCTTAAAAAAGCTACAGAACAACCTAAAAACATTTATTTTGGTTATTCTTTATGTAAAGGTAATAGAAAATTGGTTAATCATTTTAGTTTAAAGGTTAGACCATATATTGGAACTACTTCTATGGATCCTGAGTTATGTGTTATTATGTCTAATATGGGTTGTTGTAGACCTGGAACTGTTATGTGTGACCCATTCACTGGAACTGGATCTACATTGGTTACTTCTGCTCATTTTGGATCATATGTTCTTGGAATGGATATTAGTAATGTTGCTATGAGATCAAAAGCATATTATACCAAAAATACTGGAAAGCCACTAAAAGATATTACTACAAATATTGATTATTATAATCTTCGTGACCATTTCTTAGGATTAGTTACTAATGACTTTGCATTATCTTCATTACAAGTTCGTCCAATGTTCGATTGTATCGTTACTGATCCACCATATGGCATAAGAGAAGGTGCAAAAAAGGTTGGAAAAAGAAAACCTGATATGGTTCCTAAGCCAGTCATTTGGGGAGAAGATTATCATCCTCATATTCCTCAAAGAATTCAATATGGAATAGATCAAATACTTCATGACCTCTTCTTATTTGCTGCACAAAACTTAGTTGTTGGTGGAAGATTAGTTTTTTGGTTCCCTTCTATCTTTCCAGAAGATCGTGGAAAAGATTTTCCTAATGAAGTAATGGGTTGTTTAGAGTTAGCTGCAAATAGTCTTCAAGTATTGTGTCATTCTTGGGGAAGGAGGTTAATTACATTAACAAAGGTTAGAGATTTCCAAGGGGAAATGGACATTCCAACAGAATGGGAAAAGGATTTAAGTAATTTCAGAAAACGAGTCCTTGGTCCAGGTAATTGAATGTTTTGATATTATTAATGTTATATATAGCGAATATTCAATTAAGTATTTATAGAAATATTATTCAATTAATTATAATTTTTTCGTATTTTTAGACCACAGAAAATAATAAAAAATAGAACGAATATACTTATTAAATCAAAAAAAAACATGTCGGGAACTGTCAATAAGAAATAAGAAAAATCCCGAAAATAAATCCCATTACTCAACAAAACTCACAGAAAACAATCCCATGTTTTTTTCTTTGATAAAACTTGAATGTCTCTTTCAACATTACCCACAAAGAAATTAAGAGATACTAAAAATAGGTCTACCTGAAATCTTATTTTCAGATCAAAGGTGTGAGACTATGACTTCCACAATCAGATTACCAAAGAAAATGAGTGTCTATTATTCTCAATTCAATGACATCCTGTTTTCAGAAGAAAAAAAACAATTAAATGAAATGGAAATGTGGTTGGAAGTTCAAAAGTATTTAGGTCAATGTCAATTAGTAGCAATAAATTGTTTGGATGTGAGCATATCTTCTACTCTTACTATTTGGAATTGTCAAATCACTGTAACTCTCAGTAATGACTTTCCTCATCTTTTCGTTATTTTTCCGAAATCGTTCGGATTTTATATCAACAGTCAGCCAAACCAAATTGTTTTTGATTATTTTAATTTTGCTTTAATTGCACTCCAATCAACTGACCATTGTTTTACCCTGAAATTTACTTCATTCACAGAGTTCTCTTTTAATGGTTTGTATCCCTATTTCTATTTCCTTCCCATTTATTATCTCTGACTTTTCAGATTGTCCTAGTCTTGTAATTACATTACCTTTAATCGAAAATGACCACAAAATGACAAATATTAACTTAAGTATCACTTCCAATAATGTCATGTCTATTCACCCTCGATTCTCATCTTTTTTCGAAATATCTGAAGTTTCTAACTCACTGGAACATTCAGTATACCTGAAAAGTACACAAGGAATGCTTTTTCAAAATTCTTCATTTTTAGTTATTTTATCATCTCTTCCAGATTCTTCAATATTATGTGATGAGGGAAAATCATCTTTTCTTATGAACTCTTCAACGTCATTACTTCCGATAGTATCTGACCGTGTTTCTTATTTTTGTGGTTATATGACTACTTATTTATCCCTAAACGAAAAAGTTCCTTCGTCGTGTCTTATCTTCATTAATATGAAAAGTCAAAACATTATAAATGAAATCCTTAGTTCAATTTCTAAAACTTTGTCTCATTGCAAAGTAATTACAGTTATACGAATTAATAATAATGATATTGTCATTAAGGACCAATTCGAAAGACTACCTAGTTGTATGTCTGATCACACAATTATTCCAGTTCCTTCTCAGTCTCTTTTAGAACTTATCAAAACGTATAAAAATGAAGAAAAAGAAATTGAAGTTATTATTGCTACTGATGAAGTGAAATTTCAAACCGAAATATTTCCTTTGATTAGGGAAGGTCATTCAATTACATTATTGTGTACAGAAGAAGAAGGAAAAATGCAAAATGACATCAACCTTTATCATGGATTAGATTGTTCTGTTATTCACCATGAATTAAATGAGTCATTCTTACAAAAAATATTTGAAAGAATTCGTCAGAAAGAGAAATTAACAAACATTAAATATAATGAAAATGCAATAGCAATACAAAACGCACCAAAAAGTTTTGTAAAAACAAGAAAATCACTTATGTTTATGTGTCCTGCTATGGAAATCAATGAAATCATGTTAGGAAATAAAATACCAGAGAGAAGTCCAATTAGTTGTGTTGAGGCTGTATTATATTTATTTCATCAAATGAAACAATGGTCGGTTTGTGTTCCAAAGTTAAATGCAAAGACAATGATTAGAGAAGAAGTTGTAAAACGTAGATGTATAAGACAAAAAACAACAGAAACACGGAGAGGAGGAAGGTGTGTTGCAACTCAGTTAACTCGTGGGTGTAGAGACCAATTAAAAGAACAAGGAGTTTATAATAGTTCATTGTGTGAAAGAACAAAAGAAATGAGTGATACTCAAAGAGAAAAGACTAAGGCAAAAACAGCTCCACGAAGAGGATTAGTTCGAATGGATGGGGTGATAGGATTAACACGAGAAGATAAAATAAAAAAATTTCAGAATGTAATTCAAAAAACACAGTCAGATGTTCTTGGTCTTGATTCAATTAAGTTAGTTGATGTTAAGGATCGAATTGTTAATGGATATTTGAAGAAGTATCAAGGGAAATGTATTCCAATGAGTTTTAATGATGATGTTCAACGAATCATGGAATCTCAGAAATGGGAAGAGATTGGTGAGCTTAAAGAAGGAAATGTGTTTGTTTCAACTAATAAAATAGATGAGCTTTTAAACAATGTGGAAATCAAAGATTGTGAAAGAAAGGGAGAAAGGAAGGTGTGGTTTTCAAGGAGTTCAAGCATTGGACCTAAAAAAAGAATGGAAGATTTTGATGTTTTTGTTGAAGATATGAAAATGCTCAGTAATAAAACTTCAGAAAGTATTGCATTTTTTGGAGTATTTGATGGACATTTAGGAACGTCTACTGCTGATTATTGTTCATTTAAAATATATAATGAAATAATTCGGCACAAAGAATTTCCAAACAATTTGAAAAGGGTTGTTTGTGATGCTATTTATTCAGTAGAAAATGGATTTAAACCACTAGCAGAAAAACTTAGTGCTAATGCTGGAACAACAGCAGCAATTGCATTAATTACTGAACGAAATATTATAACAGCAAATGTTGGAGATACAGAAATTGTACTATGCAGAAAAGGAATGGAACCAGAAGTGTTATCAACACGACATATTCCAAAAGAAGAAAATGAAAAGAAAAGGATTGAAGAAGCAGGAGGAAAAGTGTATAATAATAATGGATGGAGAGTTGAAGGATTATTGGGAGTTTCAAGAAGTATTGGTGATGAACCATTAAAGACATGTGTTACTTGTGAACCATCTATTTTTGAAAAAGAGTTAAAAGGAGATGAAGAATTTCTGGTTATTGCAAGCGATGGGTTTTGGGATGTATTTAGTTATGAAAATGCAACAGCCATTATTCGTTCTTTTCTTGAAAAAGAACAATTTGTTAGTGGGGTTGATGAAGATGGAATATGTTTACCAAAGAATTTAAAAGATATGGCACGGTATCTTGTTGATGTAGCAATCAAAAGAAAGACATTAGATAATGTCACTGTTTCAATTTGTTTTTTCAATAATCATTGTTGAAGTTATTTATAATTATACTTTAATGGTTTTTTTTTATTTTTAAGTTTGAGTCTTGATGAACTATTTAATGAGATGATAAAAAAAATCTAATCATTGTTAAAAAGTTACATGAAGACATTAGAACCATTTTATTTAGCCAACGTTGCATTATACTTAAAAGGAACAACATTGTTTCAATCATTTATAAAGATTAGTAAGAATTGTGAGAATGCCATTAAAATGCTTCACATTAATCCATATAATGTAATAGCATATCTTCCATATTTAATAAAAGTTATTACTAACATCAATGCCTTATATATCAATGCTTTAGAGGCACAAGAATTATTAACAAGTGAAGAAGTTGAAAAGATAACATGGATTGATTCAACAAAAAATCAATGTGAGATATCTAAATTGAATGAAACAATATCTGAAAAGGTTTTGAATGTGAGGATAAATAACTCTCAAATACCTTTTCTTTACAAACTAAAAAATGTACAAAAAGTTATTATTGAACAAATTACTAATATCAACAAACAAGGTATTGATGTTTTAACACATTTACAAGTTGTAAAAATGTTAGTATTATATTTCAACACAATTGACCAAAAGAGTATTGATTTGATTGTTAGATATTCTCAACAAAACCCACATGTTGTTATTCATATTGTTGTAGATGATGATGTTTGTAATAGAATTGGAGAGACTAAGAATATTCATTATTTTAATTATATTAAACAAAAAAAAGATATTGTAAGTGAAGAAGTTATGACATTTAATAATTATATACTTGAAGAAGAAACAATCCTATTTCGATTAAACAAATGTCTAATCAATAGAATAAAAAAAGTTAGGATTGAAACAGATATTTTAGATAGCAAGTCATTATGCTTAAATAATTATCTAATTTCAAAATTATCAATAACAATTCACAAAGGATGTACATTTTTGTTAAAACTTCCAAGTGGATTAGAGAAATTAAAAATTAATGCTCCAAAGTGTATTGTTTTGATGAAAGATACTGAAGATTGGAGAATTGCATCAATATCATTAAAATGTGATATTAGAATAGTTGATAATGAGCTTAAAGAAGTATCTAAAGTACAAACAATATATATGAATAATTTTATTGGTAATTTAGAATTTGTTTCATATAATGGAAAGTATAAATTCATTGGAGCATGCAATTTAGTAACATTACATCTTGAATGTGCTTTTGATTACCTTGATTTAAAACCCAGAAATGTTGGTATGTGGTGGAAATATGATCTTAAAGAATATATAATTATTAATAGATGGTGTAATTGTACTATCAATTTTTTATCTAGCTCTGGATGTTTCAAACATTGGTTTGAGTCTGGAGCTTATGAAATGAAGATACTTTTTGATACACAAGAAAAAATGACTGTTAATCAATTAGTTGCTCATGTGGGTACTCATTATTTGAAGGCACGCGAGTTAATTAGAAATATAGATAATAATACATTTTATAAACATGTTTCAATGGTATATAACACTAAACCAGATATTCTTCTAGAATTGAGTGGTGGTTTAAAGAAAATAAAATGCCATGTTACAAGATATTTTGAAATGATTTATGATGATGATAGTAACAACCATGAGTTAAAACATGGTGTGTATGTTTTTAAAAGCAAAGAATTAAATGAATTAGACAAAAATTTTGTTAGAAAACACATTTTGAAAGTATTAACGAGAGATAGAAAAATAATGGTAGATAATGAAAGTAGTCTTGAAATAAAAAAAGGAGAAGACTATTTAATCTTTAATGATTTTCTTGTTGGATATGGAAGTAAAAACAATAAATCTGGAGTACTAAAGATTCCTGTTGATGAAGATGAAGTTGCCATTATTTATTTTAATAATTCACTTTCAATATCTACTGATTCTCAGATGTCAAAAGTTGACAATAATCAAAAGGTTTTGTACAAAGACTCGTTAAAAGAGAACAAATACAAACCAAAGGAGATGAAAAGATTATTCAAAGAAAATAAAAAAGAAGAAGCACTTGAATTGTTAGATTATGAAAATGAAGAAGAATATCTTGATGAAGAAGCTGAGCAATATTTATGGAAAGAATAAAGTAAAATAGTATTTTTAATTCAAACAATTGAGTTGTTATGAGAAAGAGTAAGTATTGGTTTATTGAAATTTTGTTATTTCTTCTAATAATTTGAATATGTTGAAAAGTTTTTATTGTTTATATCAACATAACTTCATTTATTAATTGCTAGTCATTTATATCAATTGAGTCATAATTTCATAATAATGGAGTTAAAAGAATAATTACACGATTTCTATTCACATTTCTACACTGTAAGAGAATGAATATCCAATCAATTTTAAATCATAACAATGAAATTTATTTGTTATTATTTTGGTGTATTATTATTAATTAATTTAAAATGATATCATATTTATTTCTTATCTTTTTATACTTGAACAGATGTATTGATTTATCAGAACATAATAACATCTTCAATTATGAATAAAATAGTTTGAATATACATTGATAATTACATACAATGACTCAAGTATTTGTATTATTTTGAATTTTCTCATTAAAAAAAAAACAAATTTATAGTATGTTTCAAATTAGAAATCCAACAACCATATTAATTTATACATCATATAAATTAAATTGATAAATCTTAATATTTAAATAATGAGAAGTATGGTATTATATTTCATTCATGAACAAATTATACATCAACTAACAAGTCAAAATAGTATTTGTTTGAACATTACCTATTACCAATAACTAAAATCAATCGAAATATATATCGTTAATGCATGTTTTGATATTAGACTATTTAATAAACTGAACAACAAGAATGTCTTCAGGAAAGAGTAATTCACTATTAATAAAGAATAGTATTAGAATTTAACCAACCAAAAAGTAGAATAAGAAGAATAATGTCTTAACTAAGAGCATATTGAATTGTATTATTGTAGAAACCAAGTTTTATTTCAATAATTCACTAAAAGTAAATAAACAATAATATAGGTGATAGTGTTATTAATCAAAAAATTAATAAAGAAATAAACAAACATTGATTATGGATATATTTATAATACTTTACATGGAAATAAAAATGATTTAGTCAATTAAATCAATTATATGACTCTTTTTAACAATGGTAAATTACCTTCCTTTGAACATACTATGTGTTTTCTGGTTATTTCATGATCTATTTGATCGGTTTTATTATTTTTTGATCTTGTAATAACTAAATTGGGTAATACATTTGTTTGATTTTGAACCTCTGTATTTTCATCTATTTCATCATTATTATTTGAAGTAGTTATACTTTCATCTACCTCTTTATCAACATTATCAGATACTTGTAAGTTATTAGGATCAGAAATGTGTTTATAATCAACTTGGATTTCTGGTAGATTAAAGACATCATCATCAATATCACAATATCTTCCAGGTATTGCATTAAATACTAAATCATCTTCACTACAATTAAAAATATAACATTCTTCTTCTTCTTCAAATTGTTTTTGAATTGTTTCATTACAAACATAACTTGGAAGATATTCCATTTCTTTTTCAGTTGATTTTTCTTTAATTAATTTATGATCTAAACTACTTTCTTTTTGAATTTCATTATTTTGTATAATACATTGAATTCTTTTATTATTCTCAAATGATTTTAAGACTTTATCTTTTATTTCTTTTTGACAAATAAATTGCATTGCAATAAATTTTCCAGTCTCATCGTCACTTTTAAATCCATCTTCTATCATTGTTTTTATTTTATTAATAACTTCTGAATCAGTTATTTCAAGTCTTTTTATCAGTCCAAAATCAAGTGTTATAAATGATGAATATTTGTTAAATCGTACATTTTTTATTGTTATCCATCTATCCTTCATTGGTTTTATATTATTTCCTTTAATTTTAAAAGATACTGATTGACAAATCTTCTTTAAATAATTCATTCCAACCCAACAAGTTTTACTAATGGAATTAATAGTATTTTTAACTTCAGATGGATTAAACCCAGTAACCATTACTACTTTGGTTATTGGTGTGTTATTTTCTTCTAAACGAATAGTATCAATAACATAACCAATAATCTCAAAAAACATTCCTTCTTGACGAAGATATTTGTTAGTATCTTGTGTAATAAAATTAATTTCTTTACTTGGTTTATTATAATAAATACTTTGAATAAACTTTAATTCTTGTTGATTCAAAATGTATTTCTTTCCTTGATTAAATTCTCCATTTGTTTCATATTCAAGCAAATATCTTCCTTGATTATAAAACAGCCATTTTGTATTATTTGAATCATTACTTTGAAGATGAATAATTAAATATTTTTTCATTTGTTCATTTTTTAAAATTTCATAATCTTCTACTAATATATTGTTAATAATGACTTTCATGTTTGGTTTAGCTATTTTCATAAATGGTACATTAAACAATCTTCCTTTTGATGAAAATAATTCTCGTTTAAACCAGATGAGATAATAATCTTCCCCTTCTCCTATTTCTATCCAATACCCATCTTTCGTATCTCCTAATGATATTATTTCTCCTTTCATACTTTTTCCATTTAGATTAATAATCTTATCTTCCTTCCATTCACTTCTTATATAATCAAATTTGTTTATTATACCTTCATCTTCGTTATAAGTTGATGTTTCCGAATAATGTGGATTTTGCATCATCATCCCAGTAAATTTTGGTTCAAGTAAATGAGATTTTTTAAGTTCATAAGTATTGTTGTCTGAGTAATAAATAAAAATTAAAAAGTATAATAAAAAACTATTAATTTATTGTCATGGAGAATTTACATACCACCATCCAACAAATAATAAAACAATGTATGTCTAATAGTCCAATTAACCTTGATTTATTAAATAAAATTAACACATGGTATTGTAATGTTGTTGTTAATAAAAATAATTTAGAAGAAAAAGAATTAATTGAAGCAACCCTGTTTGAGATGTACTCAACACTCTGTCAATACATTGAAACTAATAAAAATGACCCAAAAGTATTGTCTCTTCTTGAATCTCTTCATAATATAATTTTAAAAGAATATTTTGTTCATTACAGTTTCATGATTAGTTATTATGCACCATGTGAATTAAATAAAATTAACAAAGAACCTAATCAAGCAATTAAAAACTATTCAAAGTATTTAATATTTATTGAGAAAGTAATGTGTCTTTCACCTAAAGTAAATTCAGCATTTTATTATCTTCAATCAGATATTAAACAAACTATTCCTTTAATTGTTAATGCTCTTACACTTCCTTATCCTGATTTATTCAATAACACTATTAATCTACTTCTTCATTTTGATCCAGAAGATATTCCTCTCCCTAAGACTATCATTCCATTATCAATCTATTTAAAATCAATATTTAAAAACAATGAAGTTAAAATAATCTATTCATTCATTCAACATTTACTTGGACATTCTCTTCATAAACATCCTTTACTTGATGCTTTATTTGGATTAGACAGAAAAGAATTAATAACATCACGCTTAGATGAATTTCCTATTCAATTCTTCATTGCTAATATTAATATTATTGAGTTAAATCCATTATTACTCAATCTTTTACAATCACCATACCAACACCATTTTATTCAAATATTACAATTAATTCATTCCCCATTATTCTCTACAAATCCAGATCAACTTCTTCAGTTTATTTCAACACCTTTTTATTTCTTTGTTCTATCTTATTTCATTCAACTTAAAGATGCTCCTTTCCCCTCAGCAATTATTGAATGTTATAAAAACCAACATGAAAATCTTATTCCAGTATTATTAGAAGAAGCAATTAAACAAGGTGGAATTTTAGCTGTTAAATCTATATTAAAAGTATGTGCATTATCAAATGTAGTGTCTGACAAAACAAGACATCTTTGTATTTGTAAAATAGCATTATTTATGAATAAGAATAAACCATTTGCTGATGAAATTCGTAGATATGGTGAATTCTTTGGAATGATAGAAGAAAACATGAAGAAAGAACATAACACTTCAAGTGAAAGTTTCTTTATGTCTCTAGCAGCATTGAGTGGATATGATATTTTATTACTTTCACAACATTCAAGACTTAAAGAATTTATTATTGAAGCTCTTCAAAAACCAACTAAAGGAAGAATTACCTTTTTAATGATGCTCAATAAAACTTTTGAAGGAAGAAAATTATTGAAAGAACGAACAAATGAAATAAATAATATAAGAGTATTAGTTCAAAAATCTCTCATTAAAAATGAAGAAGGAAAAGGATTACAATTATTTCTTCAATCTTATGACAATTTAACAAATGTTAACCAATTGTAAGGAAACAATAATTATATCTTGATTGATTAAATCCTTTTTATTTATTTGAAAATTTAAGTTTTAAATTAAATCTGAATTAATAGCAAATCTTTCTCAAGTTCTTTATAATATCCACTTCTCATACTATCAACCCTTTGGAGTGTTTTTATAAAATCTTTTACTTCTTCATTACTTAATAATTCTATGGTACTATCAATTTTCTTAGTAATTTGATATAACTCAACCATTGTAAATAATACCCATTTAGAATTTGGTTCTATTTCATTTAATTCTTTGATTTTATTGAATTGTTCTTTTAAAATATTCATCCACTCTTCTTTTTTATTTAATTCATTATAACATTTCATTCCAGTTCCAAGAAGCCATCTATAATAAATCCATGCACTTTGATCATTTGGTTCAATATAAAATGCATTTAACAATAATGTAAATTCTGACTCAATAACTTTTTCTAATTGTAAGTTATTATAAGAACTAAAGATAACACTACGATGATGCCATGCACTATAATTACTGAAATTGTTATTAATTGAATCTGTAATAAATTTTAAATCTTCTTCTTGGCTTATTTTTCCTTGTTCTAAAACCCATAAATAATATCCCCAACAATGAACTATTTTATTACTTTTTATTACTTTATATATCTACATTAAATTAACAAACAATTTCTTGAATCTTTTCCAATCATTTTAGCACATAATTCTCTTTCTATCTCAAATTTCGGATGTTCCATTTTAGAAATACTCCATTTTCTATGAT